AATATTACTAGATATTATCTTACATCCCTATGATCAACATGTAAGTTTCTTAGTATTTTTGGAACCTTTTATCTAGTTATAATTAATTTATTTGTTGTTAAATAATTATTAAAAATCTAAAAATTGGTACTTTCAATTTTTTAATTTTTTAATTTGTGTGATTTATTACACAATAATTAGGTCATGTCAATAATTTGTGGTTATGATATTATTTTTGTCTAGATTTAAATTATTTTTGAAATGCAACATGCAGTCTTCACTAATAGATTTAAACAATTTGATGTGGATAAATACACTCTTATGTAGATAACTTATTAAAAGATATAACACAAATAAGTCTCAAAATCAACATCTTGATAGTGAGACATTGTTAGCTTATGTTGATCAAAATTGAACACGAACATGATTTTTTGGCTTGGTCTTCAAAAGAAAAGTTGTTTTCTATTAATTGACAAAGGTATGGTTCAAATTTCAAATCAAATGCACAAAAAAAATATAAAGTTTTAAAATACAAGAGGGTTAAAGGTTGTTATTGTGCATTATAAAAATGACAAGTTTTTGAAACATTTGAGACCATATCAAAGTAGGAAACTATTAAAGAATGACTATTTATGTACATGCAGAGGTTTAAAAAATGAAAGCAAGCTTTTCAAACGAATATCGAAGTGAGAATCTCAAGCTCTTCCTTCTAGACACATAGATGACAAACAAAAAACTGCATATTTATCTACATTAGACTTCGATAACTCAAACGACATATGTTTCAAAGGGAAATGATCTCCATTAGGCCTTATGGTAATTGGGTGATGATGTGAGAGGTTGGGTGAAAACACAAAGTGCTGGTTGCTTATTTTGTCTTTGGAAGGGTGGAATTCCTTTGGAGATGAACTTGAGTGGTTGGGTGACTTAGTTTTTGAATGTTAGTGCGTATTTTTTTGAGGAAAATAGTGAAATAATGATGGGACGACTTCTACAAGACTAGATGTAGCTAGGTGAGGGGCAAATCAATATAAAAATATTTGTGTCTCTAGTGATAAAGAGTTACATGCACACATGTTAACACATTTAATGATTATCTATATAGATAATTAGCTACAAACAAAAAATAGCCAAAAACATTAGGAACCTATTTCACCCCCCTCTTGGAGCTTATCTAGCCTAATAGTTCTAACACTAGGGACATTTGCTTTACCTACTTGATGTTGCTACTGAGTGTCCCTCTACATTTTTTTCAACTTTACAATCACTATCTACGAGTGCATTGCAAATTAGTTTCACAACTTTGAGGCCTCTATTAAAGCTAGATTTATGTGTTTTAATTAGTTTTATTATTTGATTTTATTTTGTTAACTTGTAGAATAAATATAGGATATATTGTTAATTTTAAAAGTCTGAAGTTAAAATACTTAGCCTAATTTTTGATTATTAAAATTAAAAAAAAATATAAAAAAATTCTTCTGCCCGCTAGCAAGCCAACACTTGGCAACTGTCCTAGAGGGGGATAGTGGTCAAGCGAGTAGACCGAAACTGGGGGAGCCACGAGCTGGGCTTGAGTGGCAAAGGCCTCACTCCGCACACGTGTGTGTCACTTTCTTTCCACATCCTGGTGGCCAACTAGTTGTGGGGTAAGGAGGGCCCATACACATGTGCGCACATGAGGGTGGACCACCTTATTACCTTCTCCCAAGATGGTCATGGGCATTATTTTATTTTAGGAGAAGGGATCTCTATTGAGAGATTAGCTTTAGTTTATATTTGACATATGTTCCAAAATATTTCTGATGTGGGACTAAACCTTTTCATCTATTACATCACAGCCATATGGAGTGCGGTGTCATCTAGCGGCGTATAGAGAGCCACATCATTAGATTAGCCAGATCATGTGGTTGGCAAATCACCACGATACCACCTACGTAAAGCGATCCATTGGTGGTTCGCGAATCTAACGCCGCTCAGCATGCACGTGGCCTTAAAGGCTGATCCGATGGCTATGGAGGTGCCACGGTACCAAAACGTAAGGTCCCGATCGACAACAATTTGTGGCAGGTTGATCCTATGTTGCTCAAAGCGCCACGTGACCAAGCTCATCTGATCCAATAGCTCTTGAAGTGCCATGGTACCAAGAACTTGAGTTCTAACACATATCACCATCAGGGATATAAAGATAATAATTGATTATTATCTAGTAAAATAGATATTATCAATTATTTTTAAAATCCCGATGATAGTTGTGAATATGACAATCCGTTCTTTCCTCCTTTTGCGCGATCGATGTCTCTAGCGATTGACAAACTTCTTCCTTCTTCCTTCTTCCCCCACTCCCCCGACTGCACTCAAGGCCTTCGGCGAGTGGTCAGCTCCTCCCTTTTCCCTTAGATGACAGTGACAATGTGGTTGACCCTTCTTTCGGTGGATCTCTCCAACAAGTGGTGCAGTGCTTCCATACGATACTTCTGTGACTTTTGGCATGGTGTGGCACGACTAGACGAAATCAAGCTGCCACACCGGTGTTTCTAAGTACTTAGGAGGCAGACTAAACTTGGGCAATGATTTATTTTCTACTTTTAGTCTTTACTTACCTACTTTTGTCATTTATTTACATTTTACGGCAAGCTATTTCCATTTCATGTACGTTTTGATTGAAATGAGTAGAACTAATTCAAAACTTGATGAATGATCTTCGTTCTTCTTTTGAATCCTTTGAAACTCATCTGAGATCAAGTTATGATCATTTCTAACTTATTTTTTATTTGATTTTTGCAGTCGAATCTCACGAAATCAAGTTATGTTCCACAAATAATGGGTATTTTTCTATTTTCGAACACGAAATCACTAAGATTAAAGGCTGATTAATGAGCATTCAACGGTTAAAATAAGGAGACATTCATGGTTGACCTCATGTCATATGTGTGAATCCTCGAGCACACATTCGTCCGAGAAAATGAGTTAACCGTATTTCGCTCTTCCTTCATTTTTGTCTTATTTCTCTCTTTCCCTCTCTCGTGAGACCTCTCTTCTCTCTCCATCTCTCATGAAATGTCTTCCTTTCTCTCCCTCTCTCTCGATCGATCTCCTTCTCTTTCTTTCTCTAGATTGATCTTACTCTCTCTCATTCTCTTTCTCTCTCTCATGAGACTTTTCTCTCTCTTTGTCTCATGTGAGATTTTTCTCCTCCTCTTTCTTTCTCCCTTTCACAAGAGATCTCATCCCTTCCCGTGAGAGCTCTCTCTTCTCTTTATTTTTCTACTTCCTTTTCTCTACTTCTCTTCCTTTATTCTTCTCACCTCACCCTTCTATTTTATTATTTATATTAAGTATTAATAAAATATTAAAATTACTTTATATATAAATTAAATTAGTTTTCACAATAGATTAATCAATCTCCCTGTGTTCGACTTGAGACTTACTTCTTTACTAGTATTTTATTAAGTCTTAGGTATAAATATTATTAAATAATGTGCATTTAAATACAACGACAAGTGCACACCAGCCTCCATTTGTCATTGTTGTAGCCCATATAATATGTGTATTCATCTCTTTTAGGTGATGTTCAATGCTTTAATGTGTTCCTCCACCTAAGACATAGCTTCTTACAAGCCTTGCTCTTATCTTATCATTTGGAATCCTTGTCCCCTCTCTGACGTGGATCTGAAACCATTATTACACGCCATGTTGGCTGTGTGCATTGAGATGCTCTCTTATTCCTCAACTAACATTCCATTTCGCTCATACAGGCAGGATAACCAAGAATAGGACCAGAAGAGGTTCTTCATTATCAGGCTCCATTAATTGTCGACCCCTTCTAAATATGCTGCGAGGGTCACGTGCCAGCACACCTCTTGGGTGGTCGTCGTTCTGGTTGGGTAGCTGTTGGGTGATCCTTTCAGTGCCCCACCATCTATTGCGGCTGCCCCAAGTGCCATGTTGCCCACTGTGCCACCTAGCGCACCTAAATCTATTCTGGAAAACCGGCCCGACTAGGAAGGAGAGGGGTCAAATCATGAACTAGAACGATGTTCCACTGCGTCCACCGGAGAAGCACTTGGCCTCTACAAGAAGGAAAAGAGTTAGCTTGCCTAGTAATCAAGAACCCTAAGTTGGTATTGTAACTCCTTTTTCTGCTCGCACGAACATGGTCAAGGCTAAAATTGGAAAACATGCTTCACCAGTAGACGCAGTGGAACATCGTTCTAGTTCATGTTTTGACTCCTCTCCTTCCTATTCGAGCCGGTTATTCAGAATGGGCTGCCCCAAGTGCCATGTGGAACTTAGGTCTTGTTCATGATTTGACTCCTCTCCTTCCGTATCAAAAGCACTTTATTGCATTTCGGACCCATCGGACTGGAACCAATCGAGGACCTGGTCCGGCGGTCGTTCGTGCCAGCGTCTCAGATCATGCAACGAGGGCTCCACGTCAAGACATCTAATCAAAGACATTCGGGTCCGAAACGCGTCCTGTCGAGTTCGTCGTTGCGGTGCGGTTAGTTCAGATGAGAATTGCGGAGTCGGTAGGCAGCAAATCACGTTCGTGGAATAGGAGGAGCCGTCAACGGGGCCAATGACCAAGAGGAGTCAGCGTACTGCAAGCTGGTTTGACGTTGATCCGCATGAGAATTAGGACCCAGACATTGGACTGGGTCCACCAGAATAAATGAAGCGTTTGACGGTCTGAGTCGTGCCAAGGAAGTTGGACCCGCGTTGCAGTCGAACTATTCCGATGTTGACTCGATTAATCATAAATCGGCATGTGCGGGTCCAAACTAACTTTCAAAAAAGGTAGGCGGATCAGCAAGCATCAGCATTGGAGATGAGAGACCAAAGCCCGTCTGAGCCGTCGCGTAGGACGTCCCTCAATGAGTGCCAGTTTCCCGGTTTCCCGCACATGTCGTTGAGAAGTTGTTGGCTCCCACCCTTATTAATACCATCGACTTCATCTGGAGGGAGAGCGAGAAGTAGAGACAGAAGCAAACGGGAAGGCATCCAGTGGTTTCCACGCAGCCATGGGCAGCTCCAGCGTGTCTGCAAATGCCTCCCATGGAGACGATGGCTTGACGAACGGATTCCATCCCGGAAACTGCTTCCCGGAGACGTCTGAGAGCTACCCTTATCGAAAAGCAGTGGGGGAGATCATCAGTTGCAAAGGTAGGAAAATATCATAGTATCTTCGATACTCCTTCCTCGCTTCTCTTCCAAACCAGTCGGTCTGCATTGTGTAGCTGCGGTAGTGTGGGGCCCCGGAGAGCCATTCGTGATCGAAGAGATTGAGGTCGACCCCCCACAGAAGATGGAAGTTCGCGTCCGAATTCTCTTCACTTCCATTTGCCACACCGATCTCAGCGCCTGGAAAGGAGAGGTATAGAGCCTTATTCGAGCGAAGCACATTCTGCGCTGCGGGACTAAGTTACGCGTTGCATCGGAATTCTAAAGTTCTTATGTTTCATATCGACAGAACGAAGCCCAGCGCGTCTATCCCCGAATACTGGGCCACGAGGCATCTGGGTACGCTTGCTCGTCTCTTCTAACTTCACCATCTGTCCTCTGTCCCTCTGTATCTCGCTCGCTCCATCTGTTTATCTTTCCATGAGTAAATCGTTGATCCACCGGTATGTAGGGTGGTGGAGAGCGTCGGAGAAGGGGTGACGGACCTGAGGGAGGGCGACCACGTTGTTCCCATCTTTGCCGGCGAGTGCGACAAGTGCACGTACTGCAAGTCCAAGAAGACCAACTTCTGCGAGACGTACCGAGTGAACCCGTTCAAGAGCACCATGATTGGGGACGGGAAGACGAGGTTCTTCACCGCCTCCCAACGGCAGCCGATCTACCACTTCCTCAACACCTCTACCTTCAGCGAGTACACCGTGCTCGACTCGGCCTGCGTCGTCAAGATACATCCCAACGCTCCCCTGCACAAGATGTGCCTCCTCAGCTGCGGTGTCTCCACTGGTATCCATCCTGAGGAACCTAATGGGGACAATCCAAGGACAAGGAAGCTGATGAGGTGACGATTTTGATCAGAAATTATCGTCATCGCGCAGGGGTCGGAGCAGTGTGGAACACAGCAGACGTGGAGGAGGGGTCAACGGTGGCAGTATTTGGATTGGGCGCCGTAGGACTTGCGGTTAGAATCTTCTTCCTTTCGGTTTTCTCCCCAGACTGTCAGATATTCAAGAAAACCTGCCCACTTGATGATACACCACGTAGATCTCTGACGTCTTCAAATCAACTCCACTTGATGATACTTAGGCGCCTCTTCCTCTGTCTACAGGTTGTAGAGGGGGCCCGGGTGCGAGGAGCCTCTCGGATCATAGGGGTCGACACCAACTCAGAGAAATCCACCAAAGGTAACTCAATCAAACTGTGGGCGAAGTTCGGAAGCAGCGCTTTTCTGACTACGGAGACCGCTGACAATCGTTTGACATCTGTCTCCGAACCGCAGCGAAGGAGATGGGAGTCACCGAGTTCGTCAACCCCAGAGAGCACTCCAAGCCCCTGCACGAGGTAAACCCATGGGGATTCAAACCTTGACATAAGCTGGACCGGTTTTGTTTTAAAATTCTTTCGATTTATTCATATATGCTTTACTGGCCCGCCATGGAAGGCTAGAGGTTAACCACTGCCATTAACGTCAAGGGACGACCACGACATTGCAGTAAAAACTAGGGCAACTGATAGTGTGCCGGCTCGTCATTTTTCCTTAATGTTTTCTGCATGGCGGCCAACACGACATGTCTGAGATCCCAAAGAATTGAGCCGTTGACGCGACCCATGGCCGTGCAGATGTTAAATAGCATGACGGAAGGCGGCGTTGACTACAGCTTTGAGTGTGTCGGTAGCGTGGACGTCCTCCGGGAGGCCTTCTTATCGACCCACGATGTAAGCTTGAAAGTCCCTCCTTTTCTGGCTCGCCAAGGGGGGTGGTCACCTAAATAACCGAGTGTTGGGGTCGGCGTTTTGCAGGGCTGGGGGGTATGTGTGGTGCTGGGGATCCATCAGTCTCCTCGGCTACTTCCGATGCACCCCATGGAGCTGTTCAACGGCAGGAGGATCGTCGGATCCGTCTTCGGCGACGTGAAGGGGAAGACCCAGCTGCCGGACATGGTCCGCAAGTGCATGGACGGGGTTAGCTCCTTCTCTTCGTCATGTCTTACACTAATCACCAGTTTTGACAACGGGGGACCTCTCTCTCTCTCCCCCTATAAGAAAAATTGTGTATATATATATTTTTCGCTTATCGGGTTTCTTTTCTGTCTGCTTCAGGTCCTAAAGGTGGATAGGCTGATAACCCACGAGCTACGCTTCGAGGAGATTAACACTGCGCTGCAATTGCTAAAGGAGGGGAAGTCACTGCGGTGCGTGCTTCGCCTGTGACTTGTTTGCCGTTTCCAAAAGTTGCCATCGCACTTCTCCACGCCAAACCCCGACCATGTCTGGAGCCTGATATACTAGTCTACGTCCATAATCGAATGTATTTTACAGAAAGTTTCATAATAAAATCTCTGATCACTATTACAAAGATCCCCTCGCTGGAAAAACCGCAGATGAAGAGTCCCCTTCACTGAAATTCAACCATATGTTAATCTTTACGTTAATTCATAGTTTTCCCGTGAGCGTTAGACAGCTTTTCGTTGCGGCTAGTGGCTAGTAGCCAGTTACCGACGAGAATCTATACACTGGAGACGTGAATTTCTTTAGCACGAGAAATACGAAACGGTACGACAGATAATTCCGATGTAATCAGAGCAATTAACGCCCAGACAGCGGCTATTTAAATTCATAACAGAAAGAGAATATGCAATAATCTAGCATTTATCCCAACAATGGTAGAAAATTTCCAAAAATTCACCGACTGTAGAAGTCATAATTTAGTATAGTCGATAGCCACAGTTTTACATTGATTTGAATAAATCCAGCAAAGATATTTGAGTCTTCCAATAGCAGCCATTATGACATCTACTGAGAGATCAGGAACAAATATGGAATCAAGGTATTCACTAAAAATATAACGTAGGCATTAAACAGATCCCGTGCAAAATGCAAACCTATGTTGATATATGAAATGTTATGTGTCTAAGTAATTCATGAAAAATTAAGATTTCAAGACAAGTTGATTGCAATGGCCATTCTGATATCTAGATTCAAACCCCATTTGACAGTGAACTTATGTCCTACTATTTTGCGCACAATTATTTGTTTTAATGGGGGAGGGTTTGGTAAATTGTCACATGCAAAAACGATAATATTGCCTTTTATCAATTTGGGCAGACTTACATTCAAAGATTTTATCCCTACCTCCCAATAAGAATATTGTATTCAGGTGTCTACCCTTATATCAAAATATGGATGAGACTGCAATCACTATCAAAATATGGATGAGATTATATCACATGAGCCCACACTAATCCTTTCTCCCCTTCGCCTAGTTTAAATGATTTGATATGGCGGTATGGTCCAAATGTTGGATGGTGCTCGTTTCCTCCAACATGTAGGGAAGCCTATTATCCTCATTAAGAAAATTCAATTAAACTTGGAATTGTCTTTATTCACCTCTGTTTGGATTCAAGAAGTCATACAATACTGAATCTTCAGTTGAGACAAAATAGATGGACAATGCATCTGCCTACTGTCGCCCCAGCATGAAACTGAGTGACATCACACATGTTTCATCCAATCTGGGATTAGACATTAAATTGCACTTCAAATATCCATTTAACCTAGCAGCCTAACCCCTATAGAAGAAGGGTTGGGTGCTTAATGCAGACAATACATTTGAGTTGGGTAATGAAATAAGCTGTCATTTGAGCTTAACCTCTGGTAGTGGAAGCTTAGGTTGGTTGGGGTTGTAATTACGCCCAATATCACCACACGGTTGAAGCAAAATAATAGGCAACCATGTGACAAAGTAATATAAAAATATTTCAAGTTCACTTTCTAATATTTTCATAAAAATTTTGAAATGATAGTATGATCAGTAAGTGTAAGACTCATTGCTAGTGAATCACTTATTTGAAAGAGAGAGTGATGGAATTCACCCCAACCATTGAGGCCTTAGTTGATCAGATTCAAGAAACTAAGACTCAATTCTAGATGTATGAAGTAAGTCAAAGACTTGCATGCAAGGGCTTGTGAAAGTGTTATCCACACCCAAGTATAGACTAAGGATGAAGGTCAAAACTGTCTATACAAGATGGTAGATCGCTTCAAAGAAGACGTGGTGCAAGTGAAGCATCAATAGGACAATGCTCAAACAAGAGGTAACACGGCACACATTAAGATCCTAGAGCTGAAACCTTACACAATGAGCAAAGATGCACAAGAGATTGAGAACTTATGAGATCTCAATGAGTACTTGAAGGTGAATATGTCTTAAAAGAAAGAAAAGTATTAGTTGCAAGCTTATACTTTACAGAACATGCTAATGTTAGGTGGTATACAAAGGTAAAATATTGCTACTAGGATATTATCTCATCCTAATCAAACTTATTGCGTGAACTCAGGGAACAATTCTGATCCATTGAATTGTGCCATGACAGCCCAAGAAGTAATCCACAAAGTAAATAATGTGCACTTCTCATTGTGTTTAAATGCATATTATCTAATAATATTTATAACTAAGACTTAATATAATATTAGTATAGAAGTAAGTCTCAAGTTGAATGTAGGGAGATTGATGAATCCGTTGTGAAAACTAATTTAGTTTATATATATAAAGAGATTTTAATATTTTATTAATATTTTTTAATAGAAATAATAAAATAGAAGGGTGAGGTGAGAAGAATAAAGGAAGGGAAGCGGAGAAAAGGAAGGAGGAAAAGAGAGAGAGGAGAAAATCTCTCGTGAGATAGAGAGAGAAAGATCTCATGAGAGAAAGAAGAGCGAGAGAAAAGAGAGGAGGAAAAGAGAGAAGAGAGAGAGAGCTCTCACAATAGAGAGACGGGATGAGATCTCTCATGAAAGGGAGAGAAAGAGAGAAGAAAGAGAGCTCTCACAAGAGAGAGAAGGGATGAGATTGATAACATACTATTTATGCATGTAATTATATAATTATTAATGCAAATTAAGGCATTAATCATTACAAATATATGCATGTTATCATATTTTAAGTATATTTCTATCATTTTGTGTAAATTCATGTTATGATCTTAAAAAACACCAAATTATGGATTATTATAAATAATTACGCATTACAATCTTTAATCCTAATTATATTTATGATCATAATCATGTTTTAAGAGTGAAAATATGAGAGAAAAGATATTTATTAACATTTATGTATTTATATAAATTTATTTTATATAATACATAAATGTATAAAATTAATTAAAATTTATTATCTTCTTATTTTAATAATTTGACCTTTTATAATGATAGATTATTCAATTTTGAATCCAACAAAACAAATTTGAATTAATTTGGAGTCGTATTTTGAAAGTTATGATTTTTACAATTTTATAGAATTTTCTAGAATTTTTCTGAATTTATTTATATTTATTTTCGATTTTTAAATGTTTTAAATTAATTAAAAAATCACAAAAAGGGGTTATATGTCGCGCGTGTACACGTGGATGCGACGTGGTACTCGGGGCCACGTGGCTCTGCCACGTGGACAGCACGCGGGCGCCTGCGTGGCGCTGATGTGACACGTGGCGTATTTATATTTACTATATATATTTATTTAATAAAGTATATAGGTCTTCCGATTATCGGAAGACAAAGTATTAATCCCTCTTAATCGTCATATCTTATATACCCGAATATACTCCTTTGTTTTTCCCGTGTGGGACTAAAGTCCCTTAGTTTTCTTATGTGCAGGACGCGTGGCGTGATCTCGTGCGTCCGATCGACATCGCGACAAATAGCGTGCGTAGATCACGTGGAATCGAGGTCCACGCGATCAGAGATCAACCACGTGCCTAAATACTCACTTAAGTGAATAAATCGCGACCGTCTGATCGAGAGTTATAACGGTCCAGATTATTCACATCAGATGGACATCCAATCACATCTTAACCGCACGATCACGATCGGACGATCGTCGAATCGTCGCGACGATTCGTGAAGAGGCGTCTCATCGCGATCGTCCATCGCGATCAACTCCATCAGATCGGACGGCCACGATCATTTTCGAATTTTATAAAATCCGTTCTTCGCGATAGAAGAACGGCCCGCTATCAATCTTCAAATTCTCTTTGTTTAGAGTCCAATTCGCGCGCCATCTTTTTCATTGTGTTCACAACTCATTTCCGCTTCTGTTGGATGTTTAATTTCAATGTTTGATTGAAATAATTGGAAGAAATCAAGTCTTGAACTCCTCTTTCGTCTTCGAAAATTCGGAATGAAAAGCCTTGCATCCGGCGATTAATTGGATCATTTCAAAGGCTAATTTGGGTTAGATTGTTTGTTTTCATCTTAATCTTTCATCATTTAGTGTTAATTTTACTTTAAGTATTGTAGATTAAGTTTAATTTAGTTTTAATTTCTGTTTTTAATCATTTCGCGATACGAAAATTTCTCATAACTTCAAACTTCGATTACTTTTCGAATTCTCATCCAAATCACCTGATTTTTGATTCTGTGGATTCGAAATTGAGTTATCTTTCTTAATATACTAAATTGCCCAATTTATAACCTAATTTCATCGTCCGATTTGACCGAATTTCACAGATATCTCTCAAATTTCCCTAATTCTCCGTGGATTCGACCCTTAATTACCATTATACTAATTAATTACTTTGATTAATCATAAATTGGTAAGATTAGGACTTTTTTTTGACACTGAATCGTGTGCATTCAACAACCATACGATTTAATCTCGTCAAATGGTGCCGTTGCCGGGGAATTAAGGCGTATTTTCGAGTAAAATCATCGATTTTGACTCGGTCAACTCTGATTTTTCTATTTCTTTTTTTGATTTTAATCCAAATTGATCCTACACTGAGCTATTTGTAGCAGAAATATATCGTTTAGATACTCAATTTCGACGAGATTAAGTGATTAGTCCCTCTCTACGGACGACGGACAATCATCGCGTCATACTCGAATTGGGAGCGTGTAACTCTGACGAATAGCGACAATCAGGTACGATTAAATTTGTCATTGTTGAATAATTTTATAGTATCTCTTTTGAGTATTATTATACTATATATATTTGTGCATATTTATGAGACGAGAGTTTGATTGGAGAACGAGGGATAATCCTTTACACTTAGATCTTTTTGAACGTTCCTCGCAATCACTTTCATCTTCCGCGTCATCATCGATCTTAGATATGGCCCTGAATGATGAGGGAAATGTTAGGAGACGCCTGAGTGATTATGCTAGGCCTGTTCTTCAAAGACCCGTTACTCGTATTCATGCACCCTTAGCTAGAAATGCGAATTTTAGAATAGATTCGCATGTGATGAGTATGTTACCTATCTTCCATGGTAAACCTTCTGAGGATCCTTATAGACATGTCGACGAGCTTAGTCAAGTATGTGAGATTAATCAGATTCATAATGTGTCGGCAGATGTAATGAAGATGAAACTCTTTCTCGCCACCCTTAGAGATAGAGCTAAGGATTGGTTTCTTAAGTTAGGAAAGGAGTTCACTTCTTGGACCGAGATGGAGGAGGAATTTCTTAGGAAATACTATTCCGTAGGAAAAACCACCTCTGTTAGGAAGGCGATGCGTGAGTTTACCCAAGGACCGAGTGAGATGTTTCACGAAGCTTGGGAGAGACTTAGAGACCTCACTAGAGAGTGCCCTCACCATGGAGTGTCTAACCATGAGCTTACACAAATATTTTATGATGGGTTAGGCCCGCAAGATAGATATCTTTTGGATGCAGCTAGCGGCGGCACCTTCATGAGCAAATTTGAAGATGAAGCAATGGAATTGATCGAGACTGTGGCGGAAAATAGCCACCACAACTCGGCAAAACCATTCAGAAGAGGTGCAACGCCGAAAGGAGGATTAATCGACGCAAAGATAGTAGAGACGGGCATGCTCCTAGAGAAGATCGACAAGATGGCGGAAGTTCAGAATCTTTTATTAGATCGGTTCCACATCCGCAACGGATCTGAAGGACTTGCACCCGTCGCTCTACAAGAAGCGTCGCCATGCGCCCATTGCTCACGCCTCGACCACGTCGAGATGGATTGTCCGATCATGGCAATTAAAGGGCAGGGCATGTACAGACAAGGCCCGCCAGGAGGGCAAATTCATCAGGGACGACCGAACTATCAAGGTACATATCCAAATTATTTTAATAACCCTGTTTATAATCCTATGCAGTAGTAGCAGCAAGGATTTAGGAGGAGTACGGATCAGACGTATCCTCCATATAGCACCAGTCAGCAACAAAACTCGCAACAGCAACCTTACGCGAATGCAAGACAGTCGACGTATATTCCACCACAACAGTTGTACAACCAAGCTCCATGATCGACCGCACCATCTGCAGATCCGATTCTGGGTGCGCTCTCTCAGTTGATGGAGCAAATGAGCAGGATGAACTCGCGTGTGGACGAGATACAGGATTTCGTCAAGACGAACATCCCTACCTCGACTGTCAATAAGAAGGGTAAGCAAGTTTCATTTTCTAACCAATTACCATCGCAGGCCACTATCAACCCGAGGAATCAAGGGTCCTCATCGAGCCAAACGCACAATCTGAGTCATGTGCATGTTGACGAGGAGGAAGTGGAAGCTGCAGTAGCGATATCGAGCCTTAGGAGCAGCAAGGATTTACCTGATCCTTACAAGGATCATCCTTTACATAAGAGCTCGATAGATGATGAGACACCGACAATCGTAGTAGAGCCAGACAGTAGTTCAGATGATGAGGAAGAACAGGTGCAAGTTGAGCCAAATCCAGAGACATACAAACCACCCGTGCCATATCCTCAAACATTGAGTAAGCCTAAGGCTAAGGTTAGTGAATCTGATATTCATTTATTAGAAACCTTCCAAAAGGTTACCATTACCATCCCTTTAGTAGATGCAATTAGGCATATACCTTCTTATGCTAAATTCCTTAAAGGCATATGCACACACCATAGAAGCCCCAAGAGGATCCAATTGAGTGAGAATATTAGTTCCATTATGATGAATTCTCTTCCTATTAAAAAGAGAGATCTAGGAGCTCCCATGATTACGAGTGAGATTGGAGGAATGATTTTTACTAGATCGTTGTTAGATACCGGAGCTAGTATCAATATCCTCCCTAAAGCCGTATATGACCGTCATCATGTAGGGGAATTGCAGCCTTTCCTTATAGAGTTATGTTTAGCGGATGGATCGGTAAGGAAGCCTCATGGCATAGTAGAAGATGTGATTGTTAGAATAGAAGGATGTTATTTTCCGGTAGACTTCCTAGTTGTAGATATGAAGATCACTAAGGAGCTTAGTCAAGCCCCAATTATCCTAGGAAGACCTTTCTTAGCTACCGCAAAAGCCGTTACAGATTGGAGAAAAGGAGAAGTGATTCTTAAGGTGGGAGAGCATACGGTGAAGGTCAACATCAACAAGTTGATGAAGTATCCTTCACAAGCTTTCGAGGATTTGGGCGCCATCGACCTGTTTGATGATCAAGACATAGAGACTTGCATCGAAGAAGTCATGACGGTCAACGAGGGAGCTGATTTCGAGGAGCTACCGTTGGACGATCCGACAGGGGAGCTCAAGCCTCTTCCATCTACACTCAAGTACGCTTTCCTTGACTCTCAGCAGGTTAAACCAGTGATCATTTCTTCCCAGCTCAATGAGGAGCAGGAGAAACGATTACTCGACGTATTACGATGGAATGAGCAAGCAATCGGATGGACTCTCGCAGATTTGAGGGGATTAGACCCTTCATTATGCACTCATCACATATTCTTAGAGGACGAGTCCAGACCCGTGAGGGAAGCCCAGCGTCGACTTAATCCTAAGGTATGGGAAGCCGTTAAGGAAGAGATTCTTAAGTGGCTTAATGTAGAGATTATCTATCCCATATCGGATAGCCAGTGGGTTAGTCCCGTGCACGTGGTTCCCAAGAAGGCAGGAGTTACGGTGACCGTGAACGACAAAGGAGAGGAGATTCAAACACGCCTCCCAACAAAGTGGCGAGTTTGTATCGACTACCGGAAGTTGAATGCAGCGACGAAGAAAGATCACTTCCCGTTGCCATTCATCGATCAAATCCTTGATCGACAAGCAGGTCAGACTTACTTTTGTTTCTTGGATGGTTATTCAAGGTACAACCAGATTGCGATTCATCCGGACGATCAAGAAAAGACGACGTTCACATGTCCCTTTGGCACGTTCGCATTTAGGCGAATGCCATTCGGATTGTGTAACGCCCTTGCGACATTCTAGAGATGTATGACGGCGATATTTTCCGATTTTCTTAGCGACAGTCTCGAAGTCTTCATAGACGATTTCTCTGTCTTTGGAGATGATTTCGACAGTTGTCTAACTCACCTAACAAAGATCCTCGAGGTCTGCGTCAGGAAACGACTGGTATTGAGTTGGAAGAAATCCCATTTTATGGTGCGATAGGGAGTAGTGCTCGAGCATCTCATCTCGGGCAAAGGTTTGGAGGTTGATAAGGCCAAGATTGAGGTCATTCAAAACCTTCCTCTCCCCACTACATTACGAGATTTATGTAGTTTTTTAGGACACGTTGGTTTCTACCGCAGGTTTATACGAGATTTTGCTAAAGTTTCCAAACCGCTAACCACTCTTCTTTGCAAGGATAAAGACTTTTTTTATAGATAAAGAAGGGGAGCGCGCATTCGAGATGTTGAAGCTCGCCTTGATCAAAGCACCAATTCTTCAAAGTCCTAATTGGGACTTGCCTTTCGAGATCATGTGCGACGCCTCAGACTATGCAGTTGGAGCGGTGTTGGGACAGCGGATAGATAAGAAGCCAACAGCTATATGGTATGCGAGTAAAACCCTTGCTGAAGCTCAAATGAATTACACGACGACAGAAAAGGAGCTCTTAGCGGTGGTCTACGCGTTAGAGAAGTTTAGGCCTTACATCTTGGGAAGCAAGATTGTTATTTATACAGATCATGCAGCGTTAAAGTACTTGTTTTCCAAGAAGGAGGCGAAGCCACGATTGATACGATGGGTGCTGCTTCTTCAAGAGTTTGACTTGGAGATTAGAGATAAGAAGGGCAGCGAAAACTCGGTGGCGGATCACCTATCTCGTCTTCACATTTCAGGTACGGGAGATATTAGTGATTCTTTTCCTGATGAGCATCTTCTTGCAGTATCTAGTCATGTTCCTTGGTTCGCGCATATCGTCAATTTTCTAGTGACAGGATCGATCCTAGATCATTGGAACCGGCATCGTAAAGATAAGTTCTTCCATAAACTCAAATATTATTATTGGGAAGAACCACTTTTGTTCCATGTAGGATACGATCAAATTATACGGCGATGCGTAGCGGAAGAAGAACAAGGAAGCATATTATCGATGTGTCACTCATCAGTGTGTGGAGGACATTTTGCCGCGCGAAAGACAGCAGATAAGATTTTACAAAGCGGTTTTTATTGGCCCACCATCTTCAAGGATGCCCACTGTTTCTATACGGAGTGCTTACAATGTCAGGCAACATTAAACATCTCCAAGCGAGATGAAATGCCAATGAGGCCTATCCTTGAAGTAGAGATATTTGATTTATGGGGGATCGACTTTATGGGACCTTTTCCACCTTCTGATGGGAAAGAGTATATTTTGGTAGCGGTTGATTATGTGTCTAAGTGGGTGGAGGCTATTCCCACTAGGACAAACACTCATCGGGAAGTACTCAGGTTTGTAACGAGAAACATCTTCTCCCGATACGGTTGTCCGAGGGCCATAATCAGTGACGGAGGCTCGCACTTCAACAATGCACACTTTCGTGCATTATTGAAGAAATATGGAGTACATCATCGCGTCACTACACCGTACCACCCCCAAGCTAATGGGCAAGTTGAAGTGAGCAACCGAGAGGTCAAGAATATTTTAAAGAAGATCATTCGACCAGACGGTAAGGATTGGGCGCACAAGCTTCCAGATGCATTATGGGCGTATAGAACGGCTTACAAGACACCTATCGGGATGTCTCCGTTCCGACTCATATTTGGGAAGGCGTGCCATCTGCCAGTTGAGCTCGAGCATAGAACCTATTGGGCAATAAAGAAGCTCAACCTATCTCTGGACGAAGCAGGTAAACATAGACTTCTCCAGCTGCAGGAATTACAAGAGTTAAGGCGTGACGCGTACGAGAACGCGGAGATCTACAAAGAAAAGACCAAGGCCTTTCATGACAAGAACATCAGAAGAAGAACTTTCAACGTCAATGAAAAGGTTTGGTTATATAACTCTCGCCTTAAGCTTTTTCCAGGTAAGCTGCGCTCACGATGGGACGGTCCGTACGTGGTTGTGGAATCGTTTGACAACGGATCAGTGCTTATTTCCGACCCTAAATCCGGCAAACAATTCAAGGTAAATGGGCATCGTCTAAAGCCCTACCTTACAGCAGAGCCACCCACACCAGCAGATAAGGTAAATCTGCATCTCTCCGAGGTACATGAGGACGTGATAAAGGTAACACCCTCATCTCATCGATCATTGTAGTTCACTAAGTTTCGTCTGGCTGAAGACGTTAAACTTAGCGCTCTTGGGAGGCACCCCAAGATTATCTTACTGTTTTATTTAGTTCTTGTTTGTAGTTATATCAATGTACATACATAGTTGGAGGAATCCACCTACAACAACAAGCAATTTGGACAAATTCCAGCGATATGCGTCAACAAACATAAATGAGTTTTTCTAAACCTTTTTACTTCTCATTTCAATTTATAATCTTTTTCATGTAATGCATGATAGTGTTGCCATCTTTTTAATATACATAATGGTTTCATTGAGGGCAATGAAAGATTTAAGTTGGGGGGTGAGGATGTAGAAAAACTTCAATTTTCAAAATTTTCAAAATTTCAAAATTTTCAAACTTTTTACTATTTTAAAACTCCTATTTTTCAAATTTTTACTACTTTTAAACACCTTAGAAGTCTTAAACATTTTGAGATCCTATTCCTAGAGATGTAGAAGTGAGGGCCTCATAGCCCATGTGATTACATTTTGAGTAAAAGAGCCAAGTGATCTAGAGAAACCATGGATTCTTTTTAGTGGTTGACTTCTTCGGGGTTGGGTATTTAGCAGGCACCGAGGAAAATGAGTAATCAGAGGTTGAAGTGCTATTGGATTGAAAAGGAGAGATTTTGAGTGAAGTTCAAGGAAATTCCCATCCCCTACCTTACATCAGCCGAACCTGCTTGGTGTAGGAATTTCTCGCTTCCGAACTTTCTCCTAGAAGAGTGCAATGTGCCATAATTTATGATGTACCTATTCTACCCTTTAGGCATTTAGTTCTACCTTTTCCATACCAGTCAATTAGACACCCAAATTTCAGTTTCACTGATTATAATTACACTCCCAAGTGATAAACATATCCACCACATTTTCTTTTCCACCATCTATACAAGCCATCCATCTTCTTCACAATTTCTCTTACAAGCAAATATTCCTTCATATTACACTTCAAAATTTCGAATACTCTCTTCAAACATCAAGAGAACCTTCATATCCTTGTTTTATGCAAAGTCTTCAAATGTTATCTTCTTCTTCTCCAAAAAGTTACAATATACAAAAAGAAGAAAGAAGAGAAGAAAAAAAAAAAAAGAAAAAAAAAGAAAAAAAGAGAAGCAAATATGAAATGAAGAAAAGAAGAAGACAAAAAGAAAGAAGGAAAGAAAATGAGGAGAAAAGAAAGAGAGGAATAAGAAAGTGAAAAGAAGGAGAACAATATGGGAAATTATCTTTACCATGTAAATACCTATCTCTACCCATTACCTTCATTCCATTTCCAATGTATATATCAATTTTACCACTCCACACCATCTCTACCACTTTCTATCAATCCTTATCTACCACCATCATCCACATCATTTGGGAGAATAATTAGACATCAGTGGTACCTTTTCTTTGTATATAATATCCAATTTGTTTATATGCTGATATTTGCTTTTAACCAAGTTATTCCTTTAGAAATAGTGTCTTTTTACTCTTTCAGCTACCTTATAACGATGCATCCTAAAATAGGAAATCCTTTTGCAATGCACTCTTTAAAGGAGAAAGAAGAGTTGAGGGGAATTCTAATGCACCAAGTAGCCTCCAAATGAGTGAAAGAGTGATGTGAGAACTAGAGAGGTGAGGATTACATTTGCTCATGAGAGTGTGAGAATCTTTTCATTCCCATAGCATCAAACCTTAGATGTGCTCACCTCGATTACACTTAAGTAATGACTCGACTATTAGCTGATGAGCACTACCCTAATATGCTCTAAGGAAGTCAACCTAGTTATGGAATCTAGATCACCATGGTCCACACTATGATGAAAAGTTGATCACACATTGATACACTTCACTTCTTTAGTTGCAGGATCAAGGGATGATAAGACTTTCTAAGGAGATTACCTAGTGAATTGCTAAGAGACTAGCAATTATTCAAGTTGGGGGGTGTGATAACATGCTATTTATGCATGTAATTATATAATTATTAATGCAAATTAAGGCATTAATCATTACAAATATATGCATGTTATCATATTTTAAGTATATTTCTATCATTTTGTGTAAATTCATGTTATGATCTTAAAAAACACCAAATTATGGATTATTATAAATAATTACGTATTACAATATTTAATCCTAATTATATTTATGATCATAATCATGTTTTAAGAGTGAAAATATGAGAGAAAAGATATTTATTAACATTTATGTATTTATATAAATTTATTTTATATAATACATAAATGTATAAAATTAATTAAAATTTATTATCTTCTTATTTTAATAATTTGACCTTTTATAATGATAGATTATTCAATTTTGCATCCAACAAAACAAATTTGAATTAATTTGGAGTCGTATTTTGAAAGTTATGATTTTTACAATTTTATAGAATTTTCTGGAATTTTTCTGAATTTATTTATATTTATTTTCCATTTTTAAATGTTTTAAATTAATTAAAAAAATCGCAAAAAGGGGTTATATGTCGCGTGTGTACACGTGGATGCGACGTGGTACTCGGGGCCACGTGGACAGCACGCGGGCGCCTGCGTGGCGCTGATGTGACACGTGGTGTATTTATATTTACTATATATATTTATTTAATAAAGTATATAGGTCTTCCGATTATCGGAAGACAAAGTATTAATCCCTTAGTTTTCTTATGTGCAGGACGCGTGGCGTGATCTCGTGCATCCGATCGACATCGCGACAAATAGCGTGCGTAGATCACGTGGAATCGAGGTCCACGCGATCAGAGATCAACCACGTGCCTAAATACTCACTTAAGTGAATAAATCGCGACCGTCTGATCGAGAGTTATAACGGTCCAGATTATTCACATCAGATGGACATCCAATCACATCTTAACCGCACGATCACGATCGGACGATCGTCGAATCGTCGCGACGATTCGTGAAGAGGCGTCTCATCGCGATCGTCCATCGCGATCAACTCCATCAGATCGGACGGCCACGATCATTTTCGAATTTTATAAAATCCGTTCTTCGCGATAGAAGAACGGCCCGCTATCAATCTTCAAATTCTCTTTGTTTAGAGTCCAATTCGCGCGCCATCTTTTTCATTGTGTTCACAACTCATTTCCGCTTCTGTTGGATGTTTAATTTCAATGTTTGATTGAAATAATTGGAAGAAATCAAGTCTTGAACTCCTCTTTCGTCTTCGAAAATTCGGAATGAAAAGCCTTGCATCCGGCGATTAATTGGATCATTTCAAAGGCTAATTTGGGTTAGATTGTTTGTTTTCATCTTAATCTTTCATCATTTAGTGTTAATTTTACTTTAAGTATTGTAGATTAAGTTTAATTTAGTTTTAATTTCTGTTTTTAATCATTTCGCGATACGAAAATTTCTCATAACTTCAAACTTCGATTACTTTTCGAATTCTCATCCAAATCACCTGATTTTTGATTCTGTGGATTCGAAATTGAGTTATCTTTCTTAATATACTAAATTGCCCAATTTATAACCTAATTTCATCATCCGATTTGACCGAATTTTACAGATATCTCTCAAATTTCCCTAATTCTCCGTGGATTCGACCCTTAATTACCATTATACTAATTAATTACTTTGATTAATCATAAATTGGTAAGATTAGGACTTTTTTTTGACACTGAATCGTGTGCATTCAACGACCATACGATTTAGTCTCGTCAGAGATCTCTCATGAAAGGGAGAGAAAGAGAGAGGAGGAGAGAAAGCTCTCATGAGAGAGAGAAGGGATGAGATCTCTCATGAAAGGGAGAGAAAGAGAGAAGAGAAGAGAAAGCTCTCATGAGAGAGAGAAGGGATGAGATCTCTCACGAAAGGGAGAGAAATAGAGATCGATCAAGAGAGAGAAATGGAGAGATTTCATGAGAGACAGAGAGAGAAGAGAGGTATCACGAAAGAGGGAGAGAGAGAAATAAGACAAAAATGAAGAAAGAGAGAAATATGGTCAACCCATTTTCACGGTAGCTATTATTCTCAGATGAATGTGTGCATGAGGATTCACACACATGACATGAGGTCAGCCGTGAATGTCTCCACATTGTTTTAATCATTGCCTTTGATCTCAGTGATTTCACATTTGAAAACAAAAAAGTACTTGTTATTTACGAAACATCGAGAAGATGAATACATCAAGATTCGACTGAAAAAATTAATAAAAAATAAGTTGAAATGATCTTAGCTTAATCTAAGATGACTTTCGGAGGATTCAAAAGAAGAACAAAGATCATTCATCAAGTTTTGAATTAGTTCTACTCATTTCAATCGAAACGTGTATGAAATGGAAATGACTCGCCATAAAATGTAAACAAATGACAAAAACAAGTAAGTAAATGCTGAAAGTAGGAAATAAATCATTGCCCAAGTTTAGTCTACCTCTTAAGTAATTGGAGACATTGGTGTGGTGACTTGGTTTCGTCCAGATGTGCCACACCCCGTTACAAGTCGTAGAAGTATTGTCTGGAAGTGCTGCGCCATTTGCCGAAGAGATCCGCCGAAAGAGGGGTCAACCACATTATCACCATCATCTAGGAGGAGAAGGGAAGAGCAAACCACTCGCTAGAGGCCTTAAGTGCAGTCAGGGGAGGAAGGAATGAGTTTGTCGATTGTCGAAGACATTGATCATGCAAAAAGAGGGAAGATCAGATTGCCATATTTGTAATTGCCATTGAGATTTTAAAGATAATCGATAATGTCTATTTTACCAGATAATAATTAATTATTATCTTTATATCCTTGAAGATGATACATGCGTGAACTTAAGTTTCGGTATCGTGGTGCTTCAGAAGCCGCTAGTTCAAATGAGCTTGGTCACGTGATGCATTGAGCGATACAAGATCAACCTACTACAAATCATTGCTAATCGGGAACTTAAGTTGCTGGTACTGTGGCACCTCCTTAGCCATCAGATCATCCTTTAATGCCATGTGTGTGTAGAGAGGCGTCGAATTCGTGAACCATCGATGGATTGTTTTATGCATCTAGTATTGTGGCCGTTTGCCAGCCACAAGATCTGGCTAATCTGATGATGTGGCTTGCTGCGTACTGTTGGATCACACTGCACTCTAAATGGCTGTACTGAATTAGACGAAAACATTTAGTCCTACATCAGAAATATTTTAGATGTACGTGCCAAATATAAATTAAAGCTACACTCTCTCAGTAGAGATCACTTCTCTCAAAATAAAATAATATCTAGGACCATCTTAGGAGAAGGAAAAAAGGTGATTCGCCCTCACGCACGCTCATTTGTACGAGCGCTTCCATGCCCCACAATTGGTTGGCCATTGGGACATGGAAGGGGAGTGACGCACACGTGCATAGAATGAGGCCTTCGCCACTCGAGCCCAGCTCGTGGCTCCCCCAATTTGGATCTACTCGCTCGACCGCAGCACCCCTTTGACTCAATTGTTGAGTGCCACCTTGCCAATGGGTGGAACATTTTTTATATTTTATTATTTATGCTAAGTATTTTAATTTCAGAATTCTAAAATTAAAAATATATCCTGCATTTATTCTGCATGTTAAAAAAATAAAATAAAATAATAAAACTAATTAAAATACAAAAATCTAGCTTTAACTATAAAACATATGGACACCATATGATAATAGATACAATAGTTCAATTATTGCTACTAAAAGCATGAACTATGACAAAGGTAGATGAACTTTACAATTTTATTGTGGTACTACAATCATGGGCTCAAGTAGAGCTTCAGCCATTGGATGTCAAGGACTTTTTTGCTAACATTGTCACAGAAAACATTGCAGGATCACACAAAGCACAACAACAAAAAGGGGTGGGAACTGTGTACCACAATTGAGGTGGACATAATCTCAGTGATACAAGTTGAGGGCCATATGGGAGAGGCCAACGGGGACTAGTGGGGGACTGCCACCCTACTAGTGGAAGGTGTCCTTAGGTTGCTATGTGTGTGGATGGTTGAATCATAGTGTATATTGCCTAAGTTGAGAGGAGATGAGGCACGTCTGGGCAAAGTTGAATCTCATCATTATGCATAACCAATTACATTTGGTCATTCATGAGCTCTCAACCCTCAACTCATTATACATATTAAGAGGAATGCATTATTTTGAATAATTTGACAGTTTGTGACGGCACATGTTCATAGAATCCATTAATGATTATCCCATGAAAGTGATGATAGATAATAGGGCAACTTAGTTTCATCTCAGAGCAAGAGCTATGATGGTTAAATTTGGAATTAGTCTGATGAGATAGCTAGATCAAAGTAGTAAATTAAGAGGCTGAGCTTTGACTGGAGTGGCACATGGTTCAGCACTATGCATGGGCTCATGAGAAGATTGGATGGACTTCCTGATTCTCCTAATGGACGATCTGACATCATTCTCAACCTCAAATTTATTGTTTGAATGCTAGCAGATGTCTTCCCTCATTGCAATAAAGTATTACTCAGAGGAAGTGAGCCCTCTTATTTGATTCTAATAATGGGAAGTCGATGATTAGTTCTCTAAATAATCTTGACCCCGTGACTCAAAAAATAGTTCTCCAAATAATCTTGACCTCGTGATGCAAAAAATAGTTCTCCAAATAATCTTGACCGCGTGACTCAAAAAATAATTTAGGTGTGAAGAAGAAACATACTATGTGATGAGATGGGAGATTGATGGTGAAATCAATGGACAATAGACAATAGCGATGCTGGGGGAACAGTCCAAGCAGCTCCCCTTAAATTACCCATATTCTAGAAGAGTTTCATGAAATTATGTGACATACACTTCTAACCCGACTATCACAGCGAGGTGAGTTTGATCATGCCATAAATATGGTCCTAAGGGAGTAGCCACTAATGTGGGTGTCATGAAAGATATCCCTGAAGGTTTTTTAGGAGTTGAAGCAACTAGATGTCATATTAAAATGATACTTCATCAAACCATCAAGGAGGATTTTAGAGCCCAATTCATTTTTCTTTGGGCTACAAATGATAAACTCATACTTTATGTGGATTACAGTGACTCCAAGAAGATCACAATTTGGAACAAGTATCATATTTCAAATATAATTGAGTTTTCTGTCCAGCTTGGTGAGGCTAAGATCTTCTTTTAGTTGGATCTCAAGAGCAGCTATCACTAAGCATGCCATACTTTATGAATTCTTTGATATCATGAGGATGCATTTTAGGATTATTAATGTTCTAATCACATTTTACATCTTAATGAATTTTATTTTTAGGTACTATGTAGATCATTTTGTGAGTAATTACCCTTAGCATTTTGATGATCCTAACTAACCTTAGTGATCCTAATGATCTACTGAATGGGATTCAAGTGACATATGCAACATATGTGGAAATTGTATGACTGATATAATAAGTAAAGGTGAGGGAGATGCCACTTTTCGCTGGAGGATGGCCTCCCTACATGCAAAATAATAGTGACCTTACATATTATGTGATGGCAACATGCAACAATACTTATTACAAGAGACACATGATACTTGCATGTAGTTCACCTAAAATAACAATGCACATTGACATACTTTGTCCAGTACCTACTTGTCAAATATTTACCAAGATGTCAAGCCTATGTTCATTGTGACTGATTAGTCTTCAAGATAAAACAAAACATATGAAAGTGACTGGAATGCTAGAGTCTCTCCTAATATTAAAACGACCATAAGAACTTTTTGGTTCTGTGTTGAGAGGCCTCCCCAATATAAAACATTTGATATTGATGAAATTGACTCCAGCCCACCACAACAAGAATGAGTGAATTTCTTCACATTTCTAATTTATGAGGTAATAATGGTTGTGAAAACGCAATCTAAATTCATCTATGTTACGATGAACCTAGTGACGTGACTCAGTCGTTGTATATTAAATCACGCAAATCTAAAATTTATAAAACTAGAAAATACGAATTTCCGGATATTTAGAAGTATTTATAAATAAATATATCAATTATAATTCAATAAAAGTTCCAAAAATAGTGGTAATTTCCCAGGTCGATCACAGGGATGTAATATAATATTTTGTAATTATTTAGAGTTTTTCTCAATGAATACGATTTTCTATGAATTTTATACTAGGAAATGAAAAGGAAATATATTTAAAATTCACGAAAAAAAAAAGAGGAAATAAGGGTGCGAACAACAGGATGACGTCAGCGCCCGGCGAACGCGAATCGGGCGGAAACAGAGTTCCGCCCGGCGATTCTTACGTAAGCGATTACAGACGATTTAATTAATCAAATTAAGATCTGTAAAAGCCAGAAGAATCGTAATTGAACGAAGTATAGTTTGGTAAATTAAAATCACACAAAGTATCACTAAATAAAGCGTAAATTAAGTTGAAAGCAGGAAACCAGAGTTCCGGCGTCGCGACGGCGATGCGTCGGCGATGCACCGGAATCCTGAGCGTTCAGGAGGATCGTCGTGCAGTGTCCACGGCCTCGAAGGCTCTCCTTGGACAAAGACGACGTGGGCAATCTCTAGATCTTCTCGCGAAGTCTAGAGATCAATGAAGTGGGTCGTCGAGTCGTCTCCGACGGCTGTCACCCGGCGGAGCGGAAAAACAGCGACTTTGCGGCTCTCCGGCGGCTGTCACCCGACGGAGAGGAGCTGGATGGAGGTGGGGCGCGTGTCAGGGAGCTTCATCCTCAGGTCCACGCAGCAAGGGGAGGCTCTTCATCGCATCTGGTACGCTCTCAGGAGGTGGCGACTCGTCTCCCGGTGGATCGTCCTCTTCCCGACGACGGCTTGTTCGTCGATCAATCGGAGATGATTTACTCGATGGATTGCGATCCTTTTATCGCAAATCGTTCAACAATTTTAGTAGCAATGCTCCGCGAATCGCGTTGACGAGATTTTCGCCGATGATCCAGCGATTCCGGTTGCTTAATCCTTCACCGGCGATCTGCAGGAAAGTCGCGATAATCAGTTAAAAATATATGAATTTTGACTCTGGGAGGATTCGAACCCGCGGCGGTCGCCCGCCCCTAAACGCGGGTTTAGTCCCACATCGGTTGTGCGCGGATTATTCGGGCGAATATATAGTAAAGTTAGCTTTCTAGGCAAAGTCCTCTCGCGTGTACGACCACTCCTTGCCCCACAGCCGGCTGACCACCGGTGACGTGGAAGGGGAGTGGCGCACACGTGCCCCTATCGATCCAAGCAAGCCGCTCGAGCCCCTGCTCGCGGCTACTCCCCGACTGCGCTTCCGACCCGCTTGCGGGCCCGGCTGGCCGGCGGATCCCCCCATTTTGCAATATTTTTATTTTTATTTCTTGTTCTTCATTTATCTCAAAACTAAGACTGTAAAAATCGTATAAAATCACATAATTACCCAAAAATTCACGTTAATCAACTGAAAACCACTTTTCATGCTTTAACACAAATATAAGTCTATTTATCATGAGTTAAGGCTAAAACTATATTATTTACTAATTATTAACTCATGATAATGAAGACTTATCACCTAGTTTACAGAAAAAAGTAATTACTACTTACACAAGCTAAAAATCTATCTAGTCTAGTTGATTCTTAAGCCTAGATTGGGGAGGAAGATTAAACATGACATTTTTCTGATTTTCCTCAGTCTTTTATAAAGTAAAACTAGTCCACTCATTCCCCTTTTTAGTAACTAAAACATAGACTAAGACTGTCCAGATAGAGAAGATATGATACTTTCCATTAGATTTTATCAAGTTCTTCTAATAGTACAAAATGATGGATTAGAATCAAGAACGTCAAAAATAAGAATACCATAAGATGGAAGGGAACATCAGTTGTTATGACAATTTCAAATCTACATTGGTGCTATTTCAATATTGAGCTCCTCAAATGTCTTGGATTTGGCTTTTTCTGATTATCTCAATTGTCATGTCTTCAATAACAAGTGCTAGAAGTTAAAGTTGAAAATTTGAGTTTTTGTGATATCATGCTAAAATTCAACCACATACATAGGAAACTTATACCTACATGATCTTAGGTGAATTATGTATAGAAAAGGCTTTACCATAGTTGGGCAGAATAGATAAAGAACTTCCACTAGCTGTGGAGAAAGGATGGAGACTTTTCTCAATGGAAGTGAACGTCCTAAAGATTTAGCATGCCCTCCTTCCCAACAGAAGTGTTTGTCAAGAGATGTAAGCCTATTCACCCTTTTAACATCTTAATTACTCACAAATTTTAACTATGAACATTTACATGATCCTTGTTCTTGCTCATAGAAACCTAAAAATCACACTGAAGACAACATTGGCTATACTTTGAATGTAGATAACGAAGTTAAATGACCAAGTCTTTCAGTGTCTTCCAACTAGAGTTTGCTCCTTCACTAATGAATTCAAAGATCATCTCTAACATTAGAGAGTGCTTGTGGAACTAGAGTGAGACTAGAAGTCACTTACATGTCACAAAGTAGACATAAAGAAGTCTAGGAGAGATCTAGAGTTCTTGATCTATAATCATAAGGTGGACAAAAGATGCAAATTCTCTTTTCTCCTAACACCATGGATAAATAATGTAGGCTACCATCACCTCTACGTAAATGAGGTGATGAATTACCATCGAATGGCCAATCTTTGACAATGGACTAAAAAGTTGTTTATTCATGCTGTCATCCTTATTTGGCAATGATCTGATCCTATGAGGATGTTACTCTGCTCAGCTCAGGTTGCCTCCACAAACTATGTAAGATTTGTTGTTATTTCTAATCAGGATGTTTCTTCCAAAGAATCACCGTGGAAATGCTCCTCTATATCTATTAAGGTATGCTCACAAGTGGTATGAGAAGCTTTTCTTACATGTTTGAAAGGCCTTAAATCGGGAAAATGTAGTAAGCATTTGATGAGTTTTCATTGTTTCTTTCATTTGCACTTTTAGATTGGCAACAAACCTTCATACTGTGCAACCCATCTTATCTACAATACATGCCTTTGATCTCAACTTGTTCTAACATGTTTAGTGAGGATTGGCTTCATGAGATAATGGGTTTATTTCCTTTCATTATATGTTGCAGATTTTGGCGATTTTAGTGACCATATTTGGGCGAGCAGAAGGGGAGCATAATACCCATTAAGGGTTATGGTGGAAACCCTAGTTTCAGAATAGTGGATGAGAGACAATTTTTGACACTATGGAGACTCACGAGAGAATAAAATAATAAACAAGAGAGGGAGAAGAGATGATTGGGTAATGTAGATGGTAAAACAATGATAACAAAACCAGACAAATGCTTTTGTGATCCAAGCCTCTCTTAAGGAGAAGAGAAAAAGTGGAGAGTGAACTATGAATTGTGAACTTGGGGAACTCCAAGGACAGAGAGAGATAGAGAGAGAGATGAGATGAGTAGAAATGGTTGTTATGGTTCCCCCCATATCAATGAATGGTCTTGGAAAACTAATTGTGGCCCTTAGAGGAGCATTTCTCATGGGAAGGGAATAGTGTTCTTGGGTTTCATCAAATTCTTGACAACTAGGTAAGTTAACTCTTTTCTTTCTTGATAGGTAATAAGGCTTCATTATCATGAGTTAAAAATTAATTAATAATATATTTAATTATTAACTCATGATAAATATATTTATATTTATATTAAATTAAGAAAACTAGTTTTTAGTTAGTTAATATGAATTTATGACTAATTATATAGTTTTATGTGAATTTATATAACTTTTATAATCATATTTTTAGGATAAAATGAAGAGAAATAAACTAAAATAAAAATATAAAAAAAGGGGGGACTCACCAACTAGTCAAGCTTATTGGGTCAAAAGCACAATTACAAGTGGGTCATGAAGTTGTATATATAAAAAGTGATATTTTTCTTAAAAAAATTTCAACCGGTGGCTCAAAAAACTATTCGTTGAAGAAAGGAAAAATGACAGAAAAATAAAGAAAAGATGAAAGAAAACTAAATGAAAAATTCTATTATCTCAATGACACCTAGCTCTGCAACAATGGTGCTAATTTGATGAACTAGAATTGGAGGTTAAATATGTCATCATGATACAATCAAGTTCATGCAAATAATATTTATAAAACCTTACTCTTCTATTTAAGATAAGTAAGGGTCAATTCTCAAGGAGCATGGGTAATGAGAGTAAGAATATTACTTATTCTATTTCTTATATATATATATTTGCGATTGTGAAGGGCGGAACTAAATGTATTAAAGGTGAAGACAAGAGTTATGAAAAATGTGGCAAAGGGGAGAGAATGGATCTAACACAATAGAATGATAAAATAAATGGTAAAACTAGTTTGAATTAAAAGTATCTATCTATAGAGAGGATTACAAAGACGTCTCAAATCTAAATCTTGTACAGACCTCGTTGTGTGTCAGTCCTAGGTTGAGTGATGCTCTATTAATGATGATTTTGATACACTCTAGGTAATCTCTTCTCTACAATAATCTTGGGCACGAGAATGCTGTTGATCAAGCCTTGATTTTCCTTCTGTTTTCTTCAACTAGCCACTACTTGAGAGAAAGCCAAAAAGTGCCCTCCAAGAGGGGGGTGAGATGCCTTAATCTTCTCTAAAGTTAGGCCCCTTCAATGGATGGTTAAGATTAATAATTGACCCTCTTAGTGGACGGCCCAGATCATTCTATGAGAGTGGTGCTCTAATCCTTCTCTTAATTTCCTCTTTAAGTGTCCTAAGATGGACAGCCTAGATCTCATCTCTTGATAGCCCTTTTAAGTCCAAATGGGCTACGTCAAAGTGATGCCCTCTCTTGGGCCCATAAACATATTAGGTCAACCCTCTCCATAAGACTTGGGCTTTTCCTTGAGTTGAAGGCTTGGACTTCCTCTATTACTTCCAACTCATAATAAGAGCTCACATAAGTCCTTACAATCAATTAATTATCAAGAAAATATTAGAGAATCATTACTTGACTTCATATAAGTCAAGTGGGGTTAGTCTCATAATATAAATAAAATAATAAAATGATATGCATTAGGACTTAAATGATAAAACATTATGAATGTCATAAAGAGTTAGTAACCTATTTATAATTATATTATCTACCCATTAATTAGCTTCTATATATAGGATATTAATGCATAAATGTAACTACTAATTTATAATTATCAAAACACAATTAAGAGACTCGTTGACAAAATAGACTAGCAATAAGTTGGAGGCACAATCGAGTAGAGCCATGAGCAAGGGTTCAAGCAATTAAGGACTGATTGGGGGCACGTGTGCATCACTCCCCCTCCTAGTGAGCAATTAAGAACTAATGAGTGACTAGTTTGAGCATGGGGCGAGTAGTTGTATACACATGAGAGGATAATATTGACTATTAAAAAAAATTACTATACATCTGACTCAAAACTTTGAAAATAATTGATGTGAGATTAATCTCATGCCACTACTCCCTAGTAGGTTTTCAATGATTTTAATACCTAAAATACCTTAATTTTGTAAAAAAGAGATACCCTTATGATTAGTTAAGAAATGTGTTCATGTACTTATTTTAATACTTTGTAACTATCACCTCATGTAGGTGGGTGATGTGACTTAATTGTTGTATAATAAGTCACACAAATTTAAAATTTATAAAACTAAAAAATACCAATTTTCAAATATTTAGAAGTATTTCTGAACAAATATATCAATTAGAATTCAGCAAAAGTTCTAAAAATAGTAGAAATTTTTAGATTGATCACAGGGATGTAATATAGTATCAAATAAGTTTTCAGAAGTTTCCTCAAAGAATATAATTTTTTATAAATTTTACACTAATAAATGGAAATAAAATATATTTAAAATTCACAA